GACCAATAGGGTATGAGTTCCCCAAGATAAGGCTTCCAATCACACCTCCTGTTAAACCATTGTGTTCCTCTAGCAGCTGGAAAATAAAACTGGTATTTATGCTATTCCATGCGAAGACATACCTTTCAAATCAACTGTGAATTCACGTGCTAGGAACCCATCGTCCTCGTACATTAGGTGGGCTGACAAAAGCCAGCAGGGAAGAGTGGTGTACTTTAGACATTAAGATGGAGCATTTTGCAGTGGAAACTACGCCATAGAGCTGTTGTCATTAGATGTGCAAAAACCATCATAAATGGTATTATCAAAAACAAAAAAGTTCTATTCTACTACACAACGATTCAAGATACTTTGAGGTACGCATTGAACAAAATGAATACATATAATTAAATTATAGATAAATTGTATTGTATTTTGTTTTTATAGCAAAATCACTAAGGTTCTCTGCCATCCCTAATTTTGAGTTACTGATCAGAGGGAAGACAACTAGTCAGTAGCATCCTACTAACCACCATCTATGCTGAGAAATTGAATGTCACACTTATACTGCGGGAAATACTTTGTGGTATAGCGCAGATAGCCCTCGTGTAGCTTTGCGCGAAATTCGAAACAAACATACAAACTTTGTGGTATTGCATGGATTTGAAGTCAGCTCACCAGCTTGGAAATCCAGAGGTCTAACGCAGGGCCAACTTGTGCCCAAGTTATAGCTAAATCAAACAAAACTAATAATGCATAAACTGGTTGAAAAATATACTTTGGTAATTATTATTTAAGTTGTTGTTTACTCAGTGCAAAGATACACAATGGACTACCTACACTCTGATAACGCACGGAATTAAACCCCGAAAGTTACCGCTGACTCATCGGGAGACAAACTATTTAAAATGAGAATATATGTATATATATAATTATTGAATTTAAGAATAAAGTTCCAAGAGTTACACAGAAAAGAAATGATTCTTGAGTTTTAAATAACTGATATTTAAATTTTATCAACTCTTGTTACTAGCAAATGAATAACGAATAGAAATGACAGTTATGCATGCTTTTCTTGAAATTGTAAAAAATAACAAAAATAAAAGTTAAAAGAAAGAGCTCTGTATAGAATCAAAAATACATAACGATTAAAAAGGAAACAAAAATCAGTTTTATAGATAAATGCATGTGTATAATTATGTCTGTACACACACAAACACATATACAAGTGAACATATATCGTTATTTCGTTCAATTGAAATGAAGCACAAAGCTACACAATAGGCTATCTGTGATCTGCCCACCACTGGTATCGAAACCAGGTTTCTAGCGTCGTAAGTCCGTAGACATACCGCTGTGCCACTGGGGGGCAAAATAAAAAAACAAAAAATATTAAAGTAAAATGAAGATTTAAATTAACAAAACACAATGTATTTATGTATGCATTATTTGTACAGACAATTCACAACCATTTTGGTAATTTTAATATTCCAGAGAACATGAGGGAGGTTAAAACGGCATTCCCCAGATCTTAGGTTATTTATTACTTTTGTTATTATAAATGTCAAGGGCGAAAGCCCATAGTTTTAACCAAAGAAATACCGAAAAGAAACCGCCATAAAAGCTCCAAAATGAGTAGGGTAGGAGAAGAATCTGACAAAATTAATTGTACCCGCAAACATATGGAGATACATCGTCCATCAATAAACAGCATGTTAAGTAGTTATGCATAATTATTTAAAAACTAAGGATTTATATTACTAATGCGCCAGAAATAAGGTTTGGTAATCCACTAAGTGATTGGAACTAGTAGGATAAATTCCTATTTTAATTATTGAGTTATATATTAATACTGTCATATTCGTCTTAGATCTCAATATACTGTTCATACAGGTATGTCATAATTGTGTGAAACTCCTAGTAGTCTATTTTTGTCATCTTTTCTCCTTTATTGTTGCTTATTTTGTCTCATTAGCAGGGACGGTGCTTAAAAGACGCTATAACCACCCCAAAATTTGCTTTGCCACCCCAAACAGTGTGTCCAACACGTTGGTGTTCTATACATCTTGACATCAAAGCCCTCAGATATTCTATCTTTCCCACCTCAGATTCCCCCTCTCCAACCTGGAAAAAGCTTGCGCCGGAACTATTCATTGGGAGTAACCATTTTCCTACTGCTGGTTGCAGACAGCAAATCGTAGTTTTAGCTGTAGGACGTTGGAAGCTTTAAATTTAATTCTCACGTAAAGCTTGCAAATAGAGGTTCAAAAAATAATTAATACCTATCGTTGTACGGGTTTTCCCATTCTGTGGTTTGTTTGATTATATACTGAGTTGAAGCCTCGTCAAACGTTTGATGATGCTCTATGTCAGACGACCATGCATCTTAACAACAACCGTGTTTCGTAATTCGTATTTTCTGTTGCAAAAGGTTCTGTCGTAGGGCTATCATGTCCAAAGCACACTCTTCCTCCTTTCTTATGCTCTCTATCTATCTAGTGCAGGAGGATGGCGGTTTTCCAGCGCCCTTTACAACACTTCAATCGCACTGCTTGACAGGTAAATTTTCATATTGAATAGCATAAATAGCCATTTCATTTGCCAGCTACTTCAGGTATGCAACGGTTGAACCGACATGTCTTGAAAGCAGTTTCTGTACACGTAATTTGTATCGCTTTTCTAGACGGAGATCCTTCTTGACTGTGTTGCTGGGACACGTGTACAACTTTTACCACTGACCTTTATGTTCGTGGAGTCTCACCTGTTACAAAGCGCGAGACTTTGCTTGCCACAGTTGGGGTATAACTTTTGCAGGTTTATTTATGGATGGTCCTTGTTTCAGAAGTTAATTAATATTCCTTTGTTTTCCAATGCTGTTACGTAAAAGGGATATCCCTTTTTGGAAATTCAATATCTCCGCTCTGAACACATTTTTATGACCTGAGTGTATGAATATTTTGCGTCGAAAAGAGATGATTTTCGCATTTTCTCATCATCGGTGTTTAGGTTATATAGACCTGGGAGGATCAGGTACAAATGACCTCTCCCCCCCCCCTCTTTGGTAGATGGTAGCTGTTTCAGGAGAATATGAATTTAAATACTACATGAGGTGAGTATCCCGCACATACCCTCATCTCTTTCAGGGCAATGTCCATTGTAGGTACTTACATTTATATTCTTGTGAATAAATACATTTTGTTTTTATTTGATGTTGCAAGGTCCTGCACATGGGGAACATGTATTTATCACATTACATTGGTTTTAACACTCATCGAGAGTACACAAAACACACTATCAGTGCTGTCGTATCAGCTTAAAACTGAAGCGGGTTTCTTAGTCTAACGTACGGTGGCCTTATTAAATTCTTATTTTCAATATACATATTAATTGATGAGAAGCACTTCATGATTATTCCCTTAACAAAATCGGTTAATTTTCGTGGATCACGCTACCTATAAAACGTCTACCGATGTCAGTGTATAATTTTATATATGCCATTCCATTACAAATATATATATATATATATGGCAGTATTTTAGTT